TGAGGATTCCTGACATACATACAGGTGAAACATCAGGAGGAAATGCTTCTGGAACATGGCCATATAGCACGGAAAACTCACAACAACCCAATATTAACTATAGTTACATATTTTCATGATTTAGAAATGCAAAATGAATCCCTCTTAGATTTAATGTAGCAATCCTTTCCTGGTCAGTGAAATATGTCTTTTTTTCTCATTAGATTTACGTAAGAAACAAATGGGAACCTCAAAGACATTATCATTCTGCTCTTTTGCCTGTCTTTTGCCTTCATCGTGGGTGATTGTTCACCCTCATTTCGGTAAGTTATTTAGTGCAGCAATGTAACTTAAATATAAGCATTGGTTAGAATAGAAATAACAAAATCGAAATACAAGTCCCTTTAAGATAAACAGAACTCATAAGCTTTTTGAAAGCCTTTCAATATAAACACTTTTACTAATCCACCTCACTGATCTGTTTCTGCTTTCAAACTCACAAAAATGCAAAGGCAACTGTTTACTTCTGCTACCAATGATATAACCATTTCTACTGGGACTTGCAAAGTGATATGTGCAAATATGCCTTTTATGACCACTGTAAAATAAATAATTTGGCTTCAGACATCAGTTGAGGTACTGAGAAAGGAAAGAATCAAATCTAAACTCAAGTAACAGGTATGAGGAAAAGTAAATAAACCTGGCATACAATAGCATAATGTGGAAAACCATATTAAGAAATCAGAATAATATTAGGTAATGTGACACCCTTAAACACATTTCAGTAATAAAACTACCTGGTGTGCCAAATTACAAAATTTTCTTTTGACTAAGCTTTTCAAAAGGCAACTTCTCAATAATTTAAAGATAAAACTTGGAATTTCTTTGTTCAGGAAACAATTCTTTAAGCATTTGACTATGACTCTAGATCCCTGCTTCATCATGGAAGCCAACTGGGTGAGTTTGGGCAAGTCACACTCTCTCAGCCTTTGAAGACGGCAAAAGGCAAGTATCTTCTGAACAAATTTTGTCAACAAAAGCCCATGAGAGGGTGTGCCTTCAAAAATGACTTGAAGGTACATAACCACAACCACAGCAACAACAACAACAAGCCAAAAGCTACAGTCCTGCACCCATATTCCGCCATTATTCTTAATATTTCACATAATCTATGCCATATATCATTACCATTAAACTGTGTCACTAATTAATCTTGCTTTCTTTTGATGGTGAGAGTACAGAAACCAAGAGTATAATAAAAACCAGTCTGCAGGGACTTGACCAGAAATTATGATAGGAGAAATGTAACATGGGAATGTAGATTTTAAAGCCAGGCCACAGTTGCAATGTTTCATTCTGCAATTAGACTTCTGCAGTTACGTTGGTAGAAAACTAGGAAAATAAAAGCTTTTCAAAATTAACAAACACATAGCTTGTAGTATTGATTAATCGTTGACGTACAAAACCAAACTCTAGCAATAGTTATAAAACAAGGGTTTTAAGCTGATATCAACACAAAGTTCTCAAAACAACATGAGCAAAGTTCATGCTCAAAACTGTAGTCAGATATTTTGATATTTTGTGGTAAATATCAGTGGCTTGTAAGCATTTAGTGCAAGACAGTGACCATTCACCATCACATCTTCCTTTTTTCATAAAGACATGATGATTTATGTTATGCACTAAACACAGTCAAAAATAGCTAAAGACTGTAAGATTTTCTGTTGTAGTCAGGACCCACAAAAATATGTTTTATTTCTGCAAGACTCTAGAAGATCAGCCCAAAAGACAGTGTGGCATTCTATCAGAAAGGCATTCATGCCCTACATGTGGCAAATCCTCATTGTGTCGCCTTGGCCAAGCCAATCTATTACTCATTACGCCAATCACTTTTTACTGTCAGTGCAGTATAAAAAACATTCACATGATCATTTATTACTAATATGTTCATGTTTACTATTATACCATTAAAATGACAGGAAAATGCTCTCCCACATAACAGACAAAAAATAACTCAGTTCCAAGTCTAAGCAAGCTGTCAACAAATTAAGTGCAGCAGATGAACAAAAGCAAAAGTAGGCATTTGAATATATTAAAAAAATAAGGTTAAAGCTCACAACTCCAGTAGAACTTTGGTCTGATTATGTGTTTTACACCTGCAAAACATGAACTGCCAACCAAGATAAAGTATCAAATCACAAAGGCTGTTGCAGTGACTAGGGAAAGCCCATTATGAGCCAAAAAGAGTTTGTAAGAAGTCTGGAAAAATATACAGTACTAAAGACCTAACAACGCCTAATTTTAAAACTATCCACTAAGATTTGAATGGAAAGGGGCTATTTATTAGGCTTGTTTTATTTTTTTTAAATGGTTCAAAACTCGTTTCAGATGTAGGGGGCACTGGTGGTTCTATTTGGAAGTCAATTCCAATTTTCACAGAAAAAAAATGTTCAAAACTTTTCGTAACTTCCAAAATTTCCGAATCCTTCCTTAATGGTTTTAAAGTGTTATTTCCTGTTTCACTGGGTGGCCTTTAGTTTGAAAGTAATTGTTTTACTCCAGAAAGGTGGGAGGGAGCAAAGGCAGGAAATTCACCCAGTCTGGTTTAAAATGCCTACCAGGCTTGAGACCATAAGTGAGGGGAGAGGAAAGGCAGGAAATCCATCCACTCTGGTTTAAAATGCTTCCCAGGCTTAAGACCAGAAGTGGGAAAAAGCTGAATAATTTCTGAATCACTTATTGCTTGTAACAGAAATGGAGGAAAAAGCTTCGGAAGGGCAAAGGGACTACCGGTTTCCTTAAAAACTTCGAAATTGCTTCAAAAAGCAAATCTTTCCAAATTTATTCCGAAATATGAAGATTCTGACTGAACCTAACCATGTCTACTGTGAAGATCCCTTACCTTGCCAGCCAGGGTGGCAGGGCCCAGGAAGAGACAGGCTAGGTAGTTTCAGCTTAGAAGGCCTGGCAGAGAGCTGCTGGAGCCATCTTAGTTTAGGGAAAAGCTCCAGTTCAGAGAGGGGGAGTGGCCGAGGCCTGAGCCAGCCCAGCAACAGCCAGGATTGGTTTGGAAAAGGGGGGCGGAGTTAGTCAGTTGGAGGGAAAGAGAGCAGATTATTTTGACAGTTCAGTTCAGTTCTGGGTGAGGTTAGAGTAGGATTTGGAGTTTTAGGAGTCTCTGTTAGGAATAGGCAGCTTGCCTGTAGTTTGCACAGCAAAGTAGGCTGTGGCAGACTGAGTTACAGCTATTTTAGAAAAGAAAATAGCTGGGTTTTGTGTTAGGAATTGTAACAAAGAATAGAACCATTCTCTCAAGTAACCATTACGCTTCTAAGAACCAAGAACACTTTTATTGTAACAGCCAAGCCTCTGAACCTGCATTCACTTTTATTCTGTAACTTGTATTCAATAAACTCTTTCTTGTTATTTTTAAAATTTAAGCCTGAGTCAAGTGCCATTTTTGGTTGAGTCCTTTTCCTTGTTGAATCAACCTCTCCTGTTTCCCCTCAAAGAAAGCCCTTGATAATACACAGTATTTGGTGGAGTAAAAAAGCCTTTTAATAATTTAAACAGCCTTTTAGCATTCTAAATAGCTAGAGGGTTCGTGATTCTTCAGTTTATGGTGGCAGCGAAGGTTTTAAATAAAGAGACATCCCCTCAAACGCTATAAGAGCCAAAGTGGTGTGAATTCCTTATTGAAGGAGGGACAGTGTTGGGATCTGCTTGCCCCCTGTCCAGTGATATTGTTTGGCCATCAAGAAATTATATCATTATAATTTGGTGGCAGAGGTGGGATTCTTTGACCCCCCTGCCCAGACGGCAATTAAGGAGTCCTTATAATTGGTGGCAGCGGTGGGATTCTTTGACCCCCCTGCCCAGACGGCAATTAAGGAGTCCTTATAATTGGTGGCAGCGGTGGGATTCTTTGACCCCCCTGCCCAGACGGCAATTAAGGAGTCCTTATAATTGGTGGCAGCGGTGGGATTCTTTGACCCCCCTGCCCAGACGGCAATTAAGGAGTCCTTATATCTACTATTTATATAAGACTAGAAAGGCTCAGTGGCTCTTCCCAGCAAGCCAGTCCACTGTGGCTTCATGCCTTCACAAGGTTTCCAAACTTCTTTCATATGGCCAAGATCATTATTAAAAAAAATATGGAAAAACAAATTTCATCTTGGAAGCTATTTGTCCCTATGGAACACAATGCAATGTTACCTCAAACCATATCAACACTGGAAATACAGTGTTATTCTCTTTAATGTTATTTCCTAGTGGGAACTGAATAAACTTACTACCAGCAACGACACAATTAGTAGAGACATCAAATATATCTACCAGTTAAGACTCTTGAAGTCAAAAGATATTAAACTGTTGTGGAAACTGATAGATTAAAAAAAGAAAAATAAATGTGGCAAGACCTTTAAATATGTAATTATTTAACTAAAGGGGGAAAATGGGATACTTGTTATTCAGGCAGCAGTTCTATCTGTACACAAACTCTACTGGTTGTTTCAGGGTCATTCTGTTTTTGTAAATGAAATTTGCCTTCCAGAAATCCCCCTCTGCTTATGGCATTGCGTTGTAGAGACTTACTGCCAATTTAGAAGCTTTTAATTTCCAGTGAAGCCCACTAAATCTAAGCAGCTTATCTGTAAGATAGCAGCTTTAGCCACTCACCTTCTCCCTGTATCTTAAGGTCAAGCATAAAACATGAACTTGGGTGGAGACGTTTATATGCAAACAACATTCCAAATGTACTCAGTTGCAAATAAAATGTCACACGCAGCCTACAGAAGAAATGCTGTTGATTGTGCACTCTATTTGATTAAACCGTTTTCTATTAACTATGTATGTACAAGTACTGTCTACAGCGCAAGCAAGTGTAGATTTATGGTATCTATTACACCAGTGTTGATTTTGTTTTTTTACAACATCTGCTACAAAGGGAAACCTGGCAAAGACATACAGATATATTTCATAGATAAGTGCAATTAAGAATAAGTGGATATGTTTGGACTTACGGAAGTATTTCAGTGTCTCTTCTATTTGCTCAGTTGTTAAGTCAATGTTAGCATCAGGAGAAATGAGAGGCGTGTGGAGCCAGTCGTCGTGATCATAACCATAGATTGTATCTGCTCTTAGCTTGTAGTGGGGCAGCTGCTCTTCCAGCAGGCTGATGATCTCAACTTCGGGAAGATCGGTACTATTGCACACATCTAGGAGAAAGAGAAAGGACAACAACATGGATATTGTTTTACATGGCATTCCTAGTAAAAGTAGGCCACTTATGAGTTAATTGAAGACATTTCAGCAAAATTCCATCAAATAAATTTTACCACCCAAAACAAAATATCAGTCAATGATACAAAAGTCAGAGAGCAATATATTTCTCAAAGTCATGTATATTTAGAAATAAACAAAAATGAAGCTTCTGACATTTAAACCAGCCAACTTGGACTAGGATTTGGGGAGACCAAGGTTCAAATCTCTACTTAGCCATGAGTAACTTTGTGAAAGTTAAACTCCAATCCTCAGAAAAAGGCAATGGCAAAAATTTCTCTGAACAAATCTTAAAGCTCTAGGATATGGTTAGACTTGAAGAAGTGACTTTTAGATATGTAACAAGAACAACAAATGTCTTCTCATCACTGTGCCATAGCATAGTAAAGGTGAAGGTACCCTCTTGAGATTAAGTCTAGTCATCTCCAACTCTGGGCATGGTGCTCATCTCCATTTCTAACCCGCAGAGTCGGCATTGTCCGTAGACACCTCCAAGGTCATGTGGCTGGCATGACTGCATGGAGCGCCATTACCTTCCCATTGGAGCTGTACTTATTGATTTGCATGATTTTGAACTGCTAAGTTGGCAGAAGCTGGGGCTAAGAGCAGGAGTTTACCCCGCTCTCCGGATTCGAACTGGCAACCGTTTGATCATCAAGTGCAGCCACTCATCTCCCTGTGCCAATGCATACACCACTGCAATTTGATCATCTATATCAGTGGTCAATTTGATCATCTATTTCAGACCCCTTAATACACTTCCTTGTGTTATGGTGACCCCCCAACCATAAAATTATTTTTGTTGCTACTTCATAACTGTCATTTTGCTGCTGTTGTGAATCGTAATGTAAATATCTGATATGCAGGATGTACGTTCATTCACTGGACCAAATTTGGCACAAATACCCAATACGTCCAAATTTGAATACTGGTGGGGTTGGAGGGATTGATTTTATCCCATGGGATTTGTAGTTGCTGAGATTTATAGTTCACCTACAATCAAAGAACATTCTGAACTCCACTAATGATGGAATTGAACAAAACTTGGCACACAGAACTCCCATGACCAACAGAAAATACTGGAAGGGTTTGGTGGGCATTGACCTTGAGTTTTGGAGTTGTAGTTCACCTACATCCAGAGAGCACTGTGGACTCAAACAATGATAGATCTGGACCAAACTTGGCACGAATTCCCAGTATGCCCAAATGAGAACACTGGTGGAGTTTGGGGAAACAGACCTTGACATTTGGGAGTTGTAGTTGCTGGGATTTATAGTTCACCTACCATCAAAGAGCATTCTGAACCCTACCAATGATTGAATTGGGCCAAACTTCCCACACAGAACCCCCATGACTAACAGAAAATACTGTTTTCTGATGGTCTTTGGCAACCCCTCTGACATCCCCTCGCGAGCCCTCCAGGAGTCCCGACCCCCAAGTTGAGAACCACTGATCTATATGGAGACAGGGCTTGCCCATGAGGAATCTTGTGTGGGAAGAAGAGGTAGATCTGCAATTCAAAGCTGTAGCTCATTGGAAAAAATAGTGTGGGGAAAAATGTCAAGACCTATTTAAATTTAATATAAGCAATATACATGTCTAATTTTGAAACATGGTGAATAAGAAATTAATGAAAAATTATGTACTCCATTATCTATCATTTTAGTAATGAATTCAAAAGCATTAATAATGAACATTGCACTTATATGTATATAAAATATTCTTATTTACCAGTTTCTGGTTGTTAACTCAGACATTATCAATAGTTGCAACTACAAAAAGAGTACATACGTATGCATACACACACACACACAACAAATCATTTCTGGTTCTTAACCTGTGGGCTGCGGACCAACCAATCCTTCCTCTTTATTTTATTTTATTTCTGCTTCTTTCGTGCCACCTGCCACTCTTTCCCTGTTGCTGACCATGGTGTATGTTCTGTAGCAGAAACTAGAGCTGATGTGGCCTATCCAATGCAACTTTCTGAATCAGCAACCCAAACAGAATCTAAAGTAGACCAAAAACTGATTCGTAACCCTTTTGGTACTAATGTTGGAGAGTGGTCCCTGGCCAAAGTGATCTCTGGTTTGTTTGTTTTTTAAAGGTTGGGAACCACTGCCATAGAGACAACATGGGACTTCTCTTATTTCTTGGTTTTTAGTGGTTATATTTTTATATTATTCACAATTCTATAGATACCTTCTATGTTAATTTCCTGTGTGTTTTGTTGATGACCATTTTCAGTTTTATCTGTTTTATTTTTTGGAAATTGCTTTAGATCCCAAGGCTGGGAAAAGAACGGAAGTTTACAATCAGTTCTACCTCAAAGATTGTATCTTGTCTCCCACGGCCTTGTTTCCTTGGACTAATATGATGACAAACTATTCAGAAAGACTGCCTATAAAAATATGACATCTACCCTCCATTTCACCTCTACCCTGGCACTCTGAGAGCAGCAAACCACCTCATTCTTTATGACAAAATAGTGCTGCTGGGCATCTCTATGGCACTCAGACAAAGCGAAAAGGAAGAACCTTTACTAGAAACACATAATGTGCAAGTCATGTAAAAAAAGCCAAACATTACCCTCCACTGAACACTGTACTTACTCATCTTTTACTGTAAATGCTGCCTGTTTGCAGTCATCCTGCTGAAGCACGTTAAAACACAGAAATGTACTTTAGAGGAGCTAAATTATTTAAAAAGCAATCTCTGCTCCAACAGTCTGAATGTATGCACCATATACATATGTTAAGGATTGAAAGGGCATGCATTGAATGATGTTAGTCTCCAATGTGTATCACTTCACATTTCTGGTTCCTTCATTCATACTAAGAATCCTACACTATTTTGGTTTTATTTTAGAGCCGTGGTTCTCAACCTTCCTGATGCCACGACCCCTTAATACAGTTCCTCATGTTGTGTTGACTCCCAACCATAAAATTATTTCCATTGCTACTTCATAACTGTAATTTTTCAACTGTTATGTATCATCATATGAATATCTGATATGCAGGATGTATTTTCATTCACTGGACCAAATACTGGTGGGTTGGGGGAATTGATTTTGTCATTTGGGAGTTGTAGTTGCTGGGATTTATAGTTCACCTACAATCAAAGAGCATTCTGAACTCCACCAATGATGGAATTGAACCAAACTTGGCACACAGAACTCCCATGACCAACAGAAAATACTGGAAGGGTTTGGTGGGCATTGATCTTGAGTTTGGGAGTTATAGTTCACCTACATCCAGAGAGCACTGTGGACTCAAACAATGATGGATCTGGACCAAACTTGGCACAAGCACTCAATACACCCAAATATGAACACAGATGGAGTTTGGGGAAATAGACCTTGACATTTGGGAGTTGTAGTCACTGGGATTCACAGTTCACCTACAATCAAAGAGCATTCTGAACCCCACGAATGACAGAATCGGGGCAAACTTCCCACACAGAACCCCCATGACCAACAGAAAATACTTAAGGCCATTCAATCCAACTCCCTTCATCAGGGCAAGAAAACGTAATCAAAGTCCTCCTGACAAAGAGCCATCCAGCCATAGATATAGATAGATATGATTCACACACACAGATAGTATCATAGATTTGAAAGGGACCCTTAAAGAAGGACAATGATATCTTGCATGTTCCAGGGTGGGCAAACCAACCACTCTCCACATCAACACTGACAAAGAAACAGCAAGAAATACTGTTTACCCACAAGCATAAAGAAATTACATATATTAGAAACCAACACTTTCTCATTACTTTATTTTCCAGATCAACAGACTGGGCCACAGCAACGCGTGGCAGGGGACAGCTAGTTTACTATAAAGTGGAAAAGGTGAGGAAATGCAAAACCACAGGACACACATAATAGAAATAGGGTAGTGAGAAGGATGTGCTCCCTGTCATACTCAAACAATGTCTCTCTATAAAGTGAGTATAATAAACCAATGCAAATATTGAGTACCACTTACAATCTTGAAACCTTCACTTTTGCTTCAATTGAAATTATTATGGTCATATTTGACTAACTGGGTCACGGTGTTATAGCCCAGCGCTACTTGGAATGCCAGACCACAAATCACTGGGTGCTAATCTACTGCAAATTTTCAGGAAAGAAAGAAATAGGCACACATGTACTATGGGTTCCTAGCACATTAGGAAAAAATACCTATCCTCCACAACAAACACCCTGAGAAACTGATATGCAAGGTTTTCCTAGAGGATCAAATTATGACTAAAAGGTAGAAATGTGAGAAATTTCTTGAAAGGCTAATGGTATAGGATATATAAATGAGCTCACTGATAGTGTTGATATATGCTTGAATTGATGTGGCAGCAGAAAAGAGCATGATTAAATACCATAGTAACTGATAATTTTGTACTCAGGAGAGAGTATTGGCTCAAAGTCTATGGTATAGTTCCACAAATGGAAGCGGTTTTGTCAGAGGAAGGTAGAGAAAGGTGACTCTTCCTCTATTTCAGCCCTCTCCACACCAAATAAAGTCCTGCACAGCAAATCTTCAAGGTGTGTGGAAACTGCAGTGGGATTACTCCCATCCTGATTCGATCAGCGGAGCTACAGGACGGGATTTTGGTCAATAATCCTTCTGAAGTTCAAAAACCTGGGACAATAATGAGTTCAGTGCCACTCCCTTCTCCTGCTGGGTCAGTTAGGGCATTCGTGACAATAAATCAACACTGAAAAATTAGCCAACTCAATTGTTTCTCCCACACCTTATATTGAGTGACTAAAGACTGATTCATTCACTCCAAAGGCAGTTTGTCCATTTTTCTCCTCCTCCTCATTTTCTCATATTTGTCCAGAACTTCAAAATCAGCTTAAACATGATTTATCTGATTGATATGACACGTCTGGCATTCATGGATTCCAAAAACCGTATATTCCGGCATATAAGACAAC